TAATGGTATGTCACATATTTTTGTACCCTTATGAATTAAATTTGAAAAATTTTAAGAAAAAAAATATATTGTATTCTTTAGTTACAAATAATTATATTGTTATTGTTTATAGAGTCACGAATTCATATTTTCTAATTATCATTATTATTATCATTATTATTATTGTTATTGTTATTATTATTATTATTATTATTATTATTATTATTATTATTATTATTATTATTATTATTATTATTATTATTATTATTAATGTTGGTGATAATGAACACACTTCATCTACTGTTAAATGTATTGAATTTTTCTTTTACATTATCTCAATAGATGTTTTTTAAAACAATCTCTTATTAAATTATAATTCATTAACATCATTTTTAATATTAAGCCGCGCAACGCGCGGGTGACGTACTAGTTAAAAAACAAACCGACACGCGATAGCGATGTCCCTCGCTCTTTTTCATAAGGTGTAGGAAACCATAATGGAAAATTGTCGTCGCTGGGCGCGTGCGGAGATTAGACAGATAATCGTTATTAGAGTCTGGCTTACATATATTATCAGAACTCGAGTAAGTATGACCATCAGACAAGTTCAACGATATCACATACTCATTTATAGACTCCACAACATCTAGTGTTGGTTCTAATAGTCATTCACATAAATGGGATCATCGGTTATATGTTTAAACATCATATACGTGTTTTCAACAATTTGAGAAATCAGACCATCAAAGGGATATATAAGAAATATATCCTCAAGTATGTGTTTATATCGTTGCATAAGAATCGTTGGACCCCCTATAGTTCCATGTTCAATGCTCGTTATTCATTCAGCGAACCGAGCTACTCTTCACGTTCTTCTGAATATGTAGTGTAAATCCAATTTTTTTTTTATTTTTATTAGATAATTTTAATCACATGGTTATACACAGTCATATTGATGGTCCATAACAAAAAATAAACAACCAATGATTTAATGAGAAACGATCCTGTTAAATGTAATTTTTTTATTTTTATACAAATGTATCCTATAGATTATGTAACAAATACGGTTTTGTACTTATTGCCTTTTATTAAGGTAATTCTAATTAATTATACCAGTTCAATCCTGAGGTATATTCAAAATAATTTTTTTTAATAGATATAGGTTCAGGTATTTGTATGCATAAAATCTTTAAAAAAAAAAAAAAAAAAAAAAAAAAAAAAAAAAAAAAAAAAAAGGGATAAAAGATGATCCCTAGTTGTTTCCCTCCGATTAGAAAGTGTCTACATAAAGTAGCCATCCATAAAATATCTGACCACAACAACACAGCCACAAGAGAAAGCAAGTTCCCTTGCCAACCTGGGCAGCCAGGTTCAATCCAGCAATATTACTCTAACTTCAAACTACACAAACTTAAGACCTCGTTTATACTAAATATAAAGTTGTTCAACACATCTTGGGCCCTGCTATCAATCATACTGTACAATCAACCGAGGCCCTATTCTTCCCTTTGCTCCAAAGGGACGAGCAATCTGGCTACAAGCATGCTAGATTTCCCAATTGCCGAACCCTTTGTGCTTTGTTGCTCTCTCTATGGAGACATGACATCATCGGATGTCGTCATCATTTGTACATCTGTTCCACCGGGTGTTTCTTTCCTCGTATGACCTCCCACCGACTCACCTAACAATCACACTTCATCACATTAGTCCACAACCTCGAAAGTCGTAGCTTTTCAAAAAAAATCGATATTTTAAATTTTGTGCTTACCAAATATGGAATTAATGGATGGGCGGCTGGGTGATGTGCTCCTCCTGTGATCTGCACCCAGTAAAAGTTTAAATATGGAGAATTTTGCTACATATTGATTGGAAACAATCTCCATGCAAACTGTTAATTTTGTTATAGAACATAAAACATAAATGAATTACTAGAAAAATGGCCATAAAATGACGTACTATAGGTCGGAATAGGTATTTATATTCAACAAACTAAACAAGTAATTAGGAAATGGAGGAAGTATGATTACTACTGTCAACTTAAAATAATTGAAATCCTTGCCTGACGAGTAACGTAGTGCTTTGAGAGCATCAAAGTTCTTGTATGTATAGCCCACAAAGCTCAAGTCTTTTGGATTAAGATTAATCTGTTTGATTAAAGATGAGGGCCATGTTAGCTACCTTATTCATCATCAGCTATACGCATATTGAGTAAATCACTTACAGCAAGGAAAAACAATAATTGTTTATCTTGCAAAAATAAAATAGAAAATGTATGAAGGGCACAGCAAAGTAGCAACCTTTCGCGAAGGTCCTGATCCCGATGTCGCTGGTATTGGAGGATCTAGCTGTTGGAGCCAATAAGAAATTTTCATCAATTAGTCTATATCAACATAAATAGAGATCACAGAAAAACCACTAGAGATCATGTGCAGTGGCACATAAAGTAAGAAAAGAGATGAGAGTGTACTTCGTCAAACTTCATAAAGTTCTGAGTGTCCAGCTCTCCATTAACTTCTGGTTTAAAGGCCGCTTCCATTTCATACAGTTTATCCCATTCAATACCCATAAACCAAGGGTGAGCCTGTACTCCTTTTACATTTCATCATTATAAAAGGGAGA